CATTTACTATTCTCTGTTTGTTACTTAATTTTTTTTTTTTTTTCCTTTATTCAGTTCCATCACACAAAAGGACAATGCAAACAGGGAAACGTTGCACATCTCAAAGCATATGTAACGGGTTTGATTAGAGAATATTTAATAAGCCTATGTGAAAAGAGCGTTGGAAAAACCTGCTGCGCATTGAAATAGACACGGAATGATATTTAATGTCAAATGTAAAGTCATGTAGCCTACACCCATGAAACTTTTATGCTTAAAGCTTTACCTTGATTGAATTGTGTTTTTAGAATTAATTTTTAGATGCTTCTACGTTCTTTTTCTTTTTTTTTTCTTGCCGTGGGATACCATGAAAATTAAATTTAGTTAAATAATTTACAGTTTTTACCTCTGATATTATAACAGTGATTAAGAATTAAAGTTATTTATTGACTCGGAAGTATACGGACGTCTTTTTGTCGGTGCTGTTGCCATGGTGAATCATAATTTCGGAGCTCCATTGATCATGACTTCTCATAGTCGTGGTGCACGCGCTAAACTCAGAGTCAACCTACTCAGAGTCGACTGAACTAACACAATTTAGCTGCTCTGAAACCGAAAACTCAGAGTTTCCTATCTCAGGGTAAGTCAACTCAGAGTTGGTTGAACCTCAGTATTGAAACGGGCCCCAGGAGTTCAAACTCTAGATGGGACACAGCTGTTGTGCCTTTGAGCAAAACTCAGGACACGCCCTCATTTTTCTCTTCCAACCAATCACAGTCAACACTAACCATCATGGAAACACTAGTCACTAGTCTGTATCAGACAGCGGAATCTTTCCTTCAATAATGAGCACTGGAAAATGACACACATTTTACGTGATACTGGCTGTTACATGCTGGGGCTAAAGCTTAAACTAGACCAAACTTGAGAAAACCAGGTGGATGGAGAGTCTGGGAAAAGTCAGACATGTTAGAGGAAAAGACAAAGAGCTATTAGAAACGGATGGATGGACGGACAAAAAAAGCTGGATTCATGAATGGGAAAGATGCATGAGCAGTCAGATCACTCATGTATTTACCAAGCGGCTCGGCATTCCGGCTGTATTTGGTGGCTTTTTTGCAGATGTAAGGCAAGGCTGACTCACAGGACAGACTCTGCCAGGAACCCTGCGTGGAGTTAAACACCCCACACTGCTGGTTCTCCTGCACCGGTGTGGAGGTCAGATCTGGACAGGAAGATGAACACTGAATATGGTATTTAAAGGGAGAGTTCACCTAAAAATGACAATTCTGTCATCATTTACTGTTTGTTCCAAACCTGTATGCGTTTCCTTCTTCTGTTGAACACAAAAGAAGATATTTTGAAGAATGTTGGTAACCAAACAGTTGCTGGTAGCCAATGACTTCCATAGTCTTTTTCCACACTATGAAAGTCAATGGCTTCCAGCAACTGTTTGGTTACCCACATTAATAAGTAAGTTATTGATTTATGCTTTTAGAATTGATGTTTATTACCCTAAGGAAAACGGTTTAACGCGTTTACAGGACCACACACACTGTCGGCTTATTAAGCATAATCATGTTAAGAACCTCCATGTAAATTCACTCAATGATGACAGAATTGTCATTTTTGGGTAAACTATTCCTTAAATAGGTAAAACTGGCCATGAAGAACAACTCTTCAACCTAATATCATAAGCCAACTGTACCTGCGGTGTAACTGACGAGAGCCAAAGGAGATCCATCAGACCACTGCCATCCCCCATGTTGACTGAGATGGTTTAATCCAATCCAGACCATCACACCCATATCTGAGAGTCTTCCTGGTGGAACACAATAACAACAATGACACATCAATGAAACACTTCATGGAACACAACATGGCATGTTAGGAAAAATGTATGAGTTCCTCTTTTCCATACAATAATAGTGGATGGCTACATACTGCTAAGGTCCAAAAAGATCAACAAAAGCACACTAAAAGGTGTCCATATGACTATTAAATGCATCTTATAGCTTCAGAAGACTGAGTATATAGTGTTAGAGTCACATGGGCTACTTTTTTGTCCTTTCTGTAGCTAGTCAGTTTTACTAACCATACACAATTGACCCTTCACAAAGACCTTAGTTACTGTTACTACATCTGACAAGCCATGGCGCTCTAACACCGTTCTCACGCAGAGAAAAATACATCGCAGAGCAAAGAGAGAACTGACCACGCACCAACAGACAAGACAGAGCAGGTTACTTTTGCTATGGAACAAAGTCTCAGCTTTCTAATTTTGTCATTTTTTTTAGGAAATGCAAACAATAAATATGGTTTTGTGGCTTTTTAATGTGTGACAGATTGCTGTAGCGCCTGAGTTCAATTGACACATGAACCGATCGTCTCTTCCTCTTTACTCTTTACAAGCATAAAGTAAACATGAATGAACATCAGAAGGTATCATATTTCAACCGTGGAAAGATGTTAATACACACAGTTTTTCAAGTCCACCGATGTTAATCTACTCTCCCCTCTGGTATATACAGTGGGTACGGAAAGTATTCAGACCCCCTTAAATTTTTCACTCTTTGTTATATTGCAGCCATTTGCTAAAATCATTTAAGTTAATTTTTTTTCCTCATTAATGTACGCACAGCACCCCATATTGACAGAAAAACACAGAATTGTTGACATCTTTGCAGATTTATTAAAAAAGAAAAACTGAAAAATGCTCAGTATTTAGTAGAAGCACCCATTTGATCTAATACAGCCATGAGTCTTTTTGGGAAAGACGCAACAAGTTTTTCACACCTGGATTTGGGATGAATACTTTCCGTACCCACTGTATATATATATTTATTTTATTTTTTATTTTTTTTACGATTAAGATGTACATTTACATGTGTTAAAAATGTAAGAATGTAATATTTTTCATATATGACATATTATATAAATTCTATATATATGTTATGAGAAATATATTACTTTCTATGTGATGGTTACATTGAATTGCAGTCATTACATTGAAACTTTTCTTGAAAATTAAATAACAAAATTCAAAACCATATTAAAACAACATAAATACAAAGAACTTGACATATTTGTTTTGACAGCCATTCCCACCAAGGATGATAATCACAGCTTTAACTATAACTACAACGTTTTAATAATTGTTCTAACACTATAAGAATAAGCTATAATGATAATGAAACAAGAACAATATTGTTAAAATCTCTTTCAGAAAAGTGTTTTTCCAGATAATCTGTCTGTGTTTTCATAACTGGATGCAGACTTACATAACACTATTTCTCATCTTTAATAAATGTCAGTTTGGGGCAAGTAGTCATTTTATTGGGGCTAGATGTTATGTATTGAGTTAACCCATTTGTTAGACATTTACTGTCCAAAAAAGTGTAATTTGTATGTATGTCAACTTTTTTATGAATTGTTTTGTGTTTTATGGTTGTTTTACTGTTAAAATTGACCTTAAAATACTACTTGTTAATGGCAAATGGATTACCATTAAATGTAAGGTCAACATTAATAATACTGGAAATGTTCATATGCCTTTTTGTAGGGAAAAAGTGACAACTACCCACAGTGTCCCCTGTAATATTTTTCCTGTAATTTCCAACTAACAATGGAGTTTAAAAATACCAACAGCTAATCAGAAGCTGCCTGATTTAAAAAAAAAACTCAAACATTTAAAGCGGCAGGCACGCTTACAAAAAAAAAAACAGAACATTATCGTCTGTTCTCAATGCGACCGGGCTTTTAAACTAGATTTTTACTTTTGATTTATCGTATTTGTCACTGATACTTGTTTTTTTTTTTTTTAAATGTGTCTGAAGACATCTTGCCTTCATATGGGTAACCGCATGGCCCTTCACCGGCCGCCCCGTAAATCCTCCACTGATGCAGAGCGGCCCTCTTCACCACCACTTTAGAGTCCACCACCGCTAACTTATTATTCATCGCTCCATACAACATGCTGCCCCCACAGCGCCACCACATGGTTGGGAGGGAAACATCACACTCAAAGATGCCCACGTCAGGCTGCAGCAACTTGGTCGCGTTGATCCCTAGACATCGATTAGTGCCCAGATTGTAGAGACGGTGCCGGGACACCCATTTCCAAAGCAGGGCGGCAGACGGGGGCTCACAGCTGGTCAGAGACAGACCGGACGAGTCCGCTGAGAGGCAAAGCTTCCGCGACACGCTCTCCAACCGGAAAACACCTTTACCTGAGTCACACAAACACAGATGCACAACAACATCATACATGGCCATTTTTTAATTGGTCAAGCTAAAGCATATTTTCTTGTCGTATCAAATACACTTGGGAGATGTGAGGCCCTGGGGTTTTTGACCAGTGGGAAAAGCCTTTCTTTAGGAGTATTATATAGCCATTTACATGCAGAGCCATGTTAGATTATAAAGGCCAGTGATATTGGAGATTCGAAGGCATTCAGAGGCACTGAGGTATCAGACAGGTCTGATTATGCAGCGAACAGATAGAAAGATAGAGCTGCTATCTCCAGTTTCACCTCCACAGAATGGGGCTTAATATTTCAGAGTTCTCAGAGCCGTCAGGGCTGAGGGTCTTTTGTGGGCGTTGACACAAAAGAGTAATTGAAGATACAGGGTGAAGACAAAGATATTCTCAAACAGTCGAACTCACAGGGTATCGTCAAACTTCAAAGGGAAGCTACGCATTATCCTCGCCATATGTCTGAGAGCAGGAATAAGCTTGAAAGAATAGGAAGTATAGGATTTTCTTGTCTGGTAGTGATATTTCTATTTAGCGTATGCTGGGAATGGGAATAATAAGTTAAGATATTAAAGGGGTCATATGATGCGATTTCATTTTTTCCTTTCTCTTTAGAGTGTTACAAGCTCTTGGTGCATAAAGAAGATCTGTAAAGTTGCAAAGACTAAAGTCGAATACTAGTAAAGTATGGCACATTCTGATCATTTTTTATCTGCAGTGTTTTCAAATATGTTAATAAAGTGGCTTACTCCCTCACACAATCTTGAAATGGAAAAGATTAGATTCACAGACAGAAGCCTGAATTATTCTTTAAAATTTGGAGCCCTATCCTGAAACACTTTAATAAGACAAATATGTCCTAGTGTTTTCTGTACCTTTTTTCTATTTTTATATAGCCTATATGTGTGTGTGTGTCTGTGTGTGTGTATATATATATATATATATATATAAACACACACTCTAGTTTGGGGACCAAGTCTCACTATTAACCATTAAGTATGACTTTTGCCTCAATAAACTCCTTAAGTTATTAATAGTTAGTAAGATAGTTGTTAGGTTTAGGTATGAGGTAGGATTAAGGGATCTAAAATACTGTCATGCAAAATAAGGCATTAATATGTGCTTTGTAAGTACTAATAAACAGCTAATATGCTTTTAATAGGCAAGCTAATAAGCAATTAGTTTTGCTCCATAAACTAAAGTGTTATACAAAAACGTCTGTTGTCATTAACTTATCATTAAGTCATTATAAATATGTTTCTTCTGTGGAATACAAAAGACATTTTGAAAAATCAGTTTTTTTGTCCATACAATGAAAATCAATAGGGTCCAGAGTTGTTTTGAACCCCATTGTCTTAACAAAAGTGGTGGAAACACTCTTTAAAATGTCTTCTTTTGAGTTCAAGACATACAGAGGTTCATTTTGGGGTGAATGTGTCCTACTATACCTGCATTGCTCCTCCTTGAAATAAAACTGAATGTGTTCCACGACATTGAATAGCTCAGTGACAGATTAATCATTTGCTATGTGAGATCATAAAACCCCCTGGAACCGCAAGACCCAAATGGGGCATGTTGAACGTGTTGTTACCAGTCTAAGTGAGGGTGTAGGTGTGTGTTTATGCATGTGCTGACCTCAGCTGACCCTGTTTATAACCAGCGGGGTGACTCACAATGCTGGTTCCCAAGTAACGCACATTATGATAAATGCATACCTGGAATCGCGTTTGGTCTCGTACTGTATCGCGTACCTTGTCAGTGTCGTGCGCTTTGCTTGGCCATTTGTTGTGAGAAACAGGAAAGTGTGTTCAAGCGCCAGCAAAAACAGTGTAAAGAAATACACTTTGTGAGAAGCAGTCAATCAGCAGAAGTTAAAAGCAGCTTGTAAGTGTATTTATTTCTTGTCTCAGTGTTTAGCACAGTTGTCATTGCTAGGAAACGCTTGTTTTGTTTACTGTGGAGACGTGCTGTGGTGTTTGGCTTAGTGTTATGTTAGAGTCATTATTATACTCACACCTTTTGTTCTTTTAAAATGTTGAATTGTTTTTAGCTTTATTTTTTTGTTTTCATTTAAATGTTTAGTTTTGAAATGTTGTTGTATGCATTTGTCATTTTTATTTAATTTATTTTATTTTCTTAAATGTGTGTATATATATATAGTATTTATAGAGTTTTAGCTTTTAGTTTTAATTACTTTTTCTTATTTGTAAGTCGCTTTGGATAAAAGCGTCTGCTAAATGGCTAAAAGTAAAAAGTAAAGTAAAAGTACCTGGAATGCAATGCTAGTCACTTTGGATTAAAGCATCTGCCAAATGCATGAATGTAAATGCAAATGCTCTGGGACTGTAACGAATCAGGCTGTTGGACAAACTTCAGAAACCCACTGTGTCCTTCAGCGGGGGTCATACTTGTGACATTCCATTTATTAGAGGAGAAGTCATGCAGTATACTGTATTGTCTGCAAGAATTGCTCAGTTTTAGGCTTTAAGAGAAATGTGGACAACATGGCAATTTATAAAAACATGATTAACAATGCATTGAATGTTCATTAATTGTAAAGAAAAGATATGGAATCTAAGCTTTCAATCGTTCAGTCTATTTAAAGTGTATTGACAAACAGACAGAAAAACAGACAGACAGATAGATAGATAGATAGATAGATAGATAGATAGGTAGGTCAACGTGTTTTCAATAACTTTTTTGAAAAAGACAGCTTTTTTGTGTCCAGGTCTTTGAGGAATAGGCCTGTACAAAAACAAACCTGCAATGAAAATATTCTTAAAGTGTAGCCTACTTTTTAAAGGGGTCATATGATGCTGCTAAAAAGAACATTATTTTGTGTATTTGGTGTAATGAAATGTGTTTATGCGGGTTAAAGTTAAAAAAACACATTATTTTCCACATACTGTACATTATTGTTTCTCCTCTATGCCCCGCCTTTTTGAAACGCGTCGATTTTTACAAAACTAATCGGTCTGAAAAGCGAGGTGTGCTCTGATTAGCCAGCTATCCAGTGCGTTTAGTGTGGTAGATATGTTGGGGGCGTGTTAGAACGAGCCGTTTTAGGTAGGCGTGGTTAACTCTTAACTTTTATAAAGAATATCTCTTTGGATTTGAGACTTTAGTCTTTGCAACTTTACAGATCTTCTTTATGCTCCAAGAGCTTGTAACACTCCAAAGAGAAAGGAAAAATTGAAATCGCATCATATGACCCCTTTAAAGTTTTGTCCTAACGGCTTCTCTGTTGTATCATGTGATGAGCAGCCGCCAATCGGTTTGTTTGTGTGCAGTTACAGTAAACTTTCACTAAGACAAGGGCAGCAGTTGCGTAAGTCTTTAAAACACATTACCAGACACATTTAGCTTACTCTCCCGTTTGAGACTAAAATAATAGTCTTTGCAGGGTGATCCCAGACGAGGAATGACACGCTACGGCCAGTCTCTCACAGAGAAGAGCTGGACTATGCGCTCTACATACTAATGCCATCTGCAGTCAGATCCCAGCACACTTGCCATCGCTCATGCCATCGAGGAAAGTATCGTTTCATAAAGACAGATAGCCTACGTCGCGCAGGCCGATTGCACTTACTGTACAGTTCGAGAAGTTGAGTTTTGTTCCAAACTTCAGTTTTGTCCCACACTTCCGCAGCAGCACAAGCTAAATGACTGACATAAAACAGCATATAAAAGACATAAAGCGCTTCACGGAAGCGAATACGAAGAGTTTGAGCGTGTCCTCGCATTTCCACTGGAGATGAGCGCGCCGCATAGACTGCAGCCTGTTTTTCACCACACTTTCCGCGAGTTTTGGGATTCTCTACGTCACTGGTCTCTCTAAAAGGCAAACATATTCCTCTCCTCTTACGCTTTTCTGTTATTTATATGATGATCTCATACCTGTTCTTTTTTATGTTTTTTTTAAATTTATTTATTTATTTTTACCTGTATTATTATTTATATAATGCTGTATATTTTCTATTTCTTTTTTGTAGTTTATATTTGTTCAGTACCTTTATATTATATGTTGGAAATCAATAAAAATATATATATATATATTCCTCTCCTCTTACAGCCCTTCTAATCTCAACGCGACGCGACCAAATTAGAACGATGCGTTCTAGATTCCCGGTGAGTCGCGTCGCGAGTGTGCAGTGTCTGACAAATCGATTATTGCGTAACCATGCATTTGGCCAGAAAGTGACCAATGGCGATAATTATATTAAATATTCCATTAAATATACAGATTATGTTTTAACTCACTGTACTGCACAGAAGCTGCATCTGAAGTGATTTATATTACACGAAAAGGGGGATTTACACTGTTTAAGGCTGCACAAAGCATCACATATGCATTTACACAGTTTGCAGAAATAATGTTATGACTTAATATTTTAAATATTAAATCATTAACACTTTCGATCACAGTGCATGCAGCCTTAACTTGACTGTGTGAAGATGCATATAGAGAGAAGTAATGTGAAACTCAACATTTTTAGATGGAAAACCATCAAATATATTACAAAACACAAGTAGACAGACTTGTTTTTTTTTTTTTTTTTACATTTGATCCAGCAAAACCATAATTAATCATATCTAATTACAAAAGGCTCAGCCTGAACTAACCAATCACAAACATCTGTCACAAATAACTACATTTTGCTGCAACAACCACAAGAAACGCTAAACGTAAAACAAGAAGATCCAGTGTTGCCCAGATTTAACAGTACCTTTAGCACTTTTAGCAGCACAACACATTGTTTAAATTATTTACAGTTTTTAAAATAAATTCCCTGCCAGTATCTGACAGTCCTGCCCCCAGCTTACAAGCACACACACACACACACACACACACACACTCTCTCTCTCTCTCTCTCACTCACTTGTACAGTATACAAGAAAATAAATCATTCATAAAAAGTAATTGCTCCTGGTAAATAGAAGCCTGCATTTTGTGTTTTAACACACAAAGGTGGTCAGTAGCCCTAAGAAATGTCACTTTTCTGCTGCCCTGCGTTTTTGTAGGTCACATTTTTAAAAGTTGATGTCGAGCTCCTGAAAAGAGGATTTGTGCCCTGAGGACAAAAGAGGGACAAAACACAGTTATTTAAAGTATATTAGGCTTTTAACACATTCAAATGAACAGAAAATTCAGTGTAATGCTCTCTTGACAATGTTATCATACCGACTGCCATTTTGCTTTCGCCTTCTCTGCCTCAAACTTGGCAACCTCTTTCCGGTCATGGACAGAAACAAGAAACTTCCAGATCACAAGGAGAGTAATGCCAATAATGAGGACAGACATGCACACGCCCAGAGCGATCAACAGTGCGTTTGGCGGCTCAGGGCAGTCTGAAGGAGAGTTATGCACAAACAATTAAAAAAATAATATGGAACTTTATTCTAATGTATAATGCCACAATGTATAAGTTAAACTGTATATGTTCATGTATTAAAAAAATTAGTCATTAGTCTCACCGTAAAGCTTGGGGTTGTAAATAATGCTGCCGTGATCACTGTCCACCAAGCTGAATGACAGTAGACAGTAGTCCTCATTCTGTAAGGTGCACAATGCCGCCCGACTCTCCTCAAAATCTGACAATAAAAATATATTACACTTACATTATGCATTTAGCAGATGCTTTTAACACACACACACACACACACATATATATATATATACACACACACACACACACATACATATATATATACAGTGGGTACGGAAAGTATTCAGACCCCCTTAAATTTTTCACTCTTTGTTATATTGCAGCCATTTGCTAAAATCATTTAAGTTAGTTTTTTTTCCTCATTAATGTACACACAGCCAGCCATATTGACAGAAAAACACAGAATTGTTGACATTTTTGCAAATTTATTAAAAAAGAAAAACTGAAAAATGCTCAGTATTTAGTAGAAGCACCCTCTCACAAAAACAAACCTGTGTGTGTGTGTGTTTATTTATTTAACATGAAAACAAATTTGACCCTTTTTATTTTCTTAATACATGGTCTTGAATGTTCAAAAACTAAAAGTGAAAATATTGAATCTTTAATCAAAATGTATTATGTCCGCCTCTAAAACAAATGTTCTTTTCTGATGACATCACCAAGACCTCTACTTTTTAAACTCTGCCTCTCCAAACATCTGTCCTAAAATAACCACTTTTCACACTCCAGTTCACTCCTGATGGGCAAAATCAAATCCCTTACTACATTTTATCCTTAAAATTAATTATTCATCACTATAATATTCATCAAATTCCCTATATATATATATACCAAGTCGTGTATGTATGATATTATCCCATTTAAAAACAGTCTTTTTTATTCCCTTCAATCTCTTTATATCTCTTTCCTGTGTCCCTCTCATGTCTTTATCAAAGACAGACAGTGTTTTGTGTCTTTTGATTGTCTTCCAGTCAGAGAGCGTATAGAGCCAGCCTCCACAGCACCAGTTGCCTTGTGATCTCAGGGTTCATATAATAGGCTGATCTTGTATAGACACTCAAGGGTTTTGAAACCCAACGGGCCCCAACAATAGGCTCTCCACACAACAAGCTAAATAGCATGTTTCCCTTTGAGAAGTGTCAAGAGGGCCGTTCTAAAGGATGTCTGCTTTGTATGAGCTGGTAGGAGTACATTAAGACACATTTGAGGTTTTTGAAGAAATCAGCATGAAAGTATATGGCAAGCATTTTTAACATTTAATCCTTAAAACTTAATAGTATCCATTTTCATGCTAGCAGTACTTATTTTGTTAGTTACTAGCATCTATTCCATTAAGTACTTGTATTTATTCACTGGCTAGTGCTTATTCTGTAGCTACTACTGCTAATTATTCTTTAGGTACTAGTAACTTTTTAAAGATACTAGTTCTTATTCATTAGATACTAGTACTTATTTCAATAGTGACTAGTAACTATTCTGCTGTTACTAGTAATATTTCAAATGATTACTATTGACTTCTATGGGGATCTGTCATTAAGATATTAACATACTGACTAGTATGTATTGCAATTGTGACTAGTATCTTTTAAAATAGTACTAGTAAGTATTCATAGTACTTATTTATTAAATACTATTACTTTTCATTAGATACTAGTACCTATTTAATAGATACTAGTAGTTATTAATTAGGTACTAGTACTTATTCAGTAGACACTAGTATATTTTTGTAATTCTTACTAGTAATAAATCTTATTATACTCGTCACAGCTATTTTATTAGTCTTATGTTATGACTAGTCAGAATGGGCACTGTAGAGTTCAATTAAAATCTTATTACTAGTATCTAATAATAAGAATTAATATATAGTGGATAATTAGTAGTATGTAATAAATAAATACTAGTGTCTATTTAATAGGTACTAGTATCTAAAGAATAAGCACTAGTATCCCACAAATAAGTACTAGTTCCTTATGGAATAGATACTAGTGGATGAAAAATAAGTACTACATGAAAATAGATATGAGTATGTTTTATAGATATATAAATGTTGAAATATTGCCATAAATACTTGCCATAAAGTATCATAAAATTGACTATGAAGACTTGGAATATACAGGTTTAGAATGACATGAGGCAAATTTTGAATTAATATTTTTTAATTTTTAGCTATACTGTTCCTTTAAAAAGGCGTACATTAAATGAAACATTTTTGCCTAACAAACAACTACCCTACTGACCATGTGACCGCTGATAAACAGACACTGCAGAGAACAAATCAATGGATTCTGACCTGTGGAATTGCTGACAGTGGCATGTAGGGAGTTGCACTTCACAGCACACTCGTCCAACGGGTCCTTAGCTTTGAGGTGACACTCCACACAAGACCTGCGGGACACAAAGACAACACTTTAAAAAAATCCTGTCGACCCCACAGAGAGTTCGTCTCTAGAGGAAGCTTTGTTTTGTGTTCTTTGTGAGTGTTTTTCCCAGAGATGCACTCTCTCATTTTCAGTCTCATTCTCTCTGTATCGCTCTATCACAGAGTCAAATGACCCGCAGGGTGACAGGACCTTTAGTGGGAAGGAAATGCAATACTGCAGAGCTGCCACATGCCTTTTGGTGCTCATATATGCCCTCTGGAAATGAGTGGACAAGACAACTCATAAAAACACACAGAGCTGCCCACACACACACACACACACAAACAAACACAATAGTCATGACGAAAATTGCTCTGAAAGCCGAAAGCTGGAGGTCCATTTAAAATAAGCGATAAGAAACAAATTTTCAAATACACTTACATGTATTAATGGCAATAATCACATTAAAAAAATAAACAAATATTATTCTAATTAGGCCATTTAAATAATGAAATTATAGAAATTATATAATAACATAAATATTAACATCTCACAATTTCTTGAACTGCTTATTACAAAAATATCAGACAGCCCACAATGATTCAAACCAGATTGTAGCCAAAACAATTGGCTTTCGATGCTGCATTTTCATTATGAAACTCAGTTTTAGTCACAGATAGACATGCATGTCTTTACCTGGGCAAGCTACAGATATCTCCACAGGTTGGGCACCTTTGGCACCACTCTCCTGAGGCTCCGGGAACGGTGCACTCGCACTTCCCACACACACACTTGCCCCGTCCGCTGCAGATGGAACCATCCAGAGACACGCATGAGCTGTTGCTGGTGCTGCAGTTACAGAATTCTCCCATCCAACCGCTGTGACACACACACTCACCACAGTCACATTCCCCGTGACCTACACAAACAAACATAAAGGAAATATATACAACAATATTTAAAAAAAAAGAAATGAATGCTTTAAA